GATTTTTGTGATCACTAATCTTTTGAAAATTTTTGTTACAGTTGTAAAATGCGAAATTACGCGATTCAAGCCTTACTTCTATGTATTTTCGTAGTCTCAGTTCTTTTTGTCCACGTTGGGATTTCTGTGAAACTTATAGCTTGATTATTGTAGTTATGTTCAGCTGTTTTAGCTTTTTAGTGTATAACAAACACCCTTTATTGTTCAAAGACGTTATTAAATCCTTCTAGTATTTTCACTTCTTTCATATAGTGATAGTCTGCATATACAGGGTGTTTCTAATTTGGCACTCACCATTGGGATCTTGGAAACTGTAAGGGATACGAAGGTTCTTAAATAGGGTAATTAACAAAATGACACTTAGAAAGTTTCGAAATTCAAAGTACATACTTCCGGAGAGTATTTTCCTAAAATCGTTTTGATTTTTTTAAGACTTTATTTATATTGATGTTTTAATTCTTAAGGACGCTATATTGCAATTTTGCACACATGAATAGAGTTTTTAATTTTGATTAAAAAAACCTTAGTTACTTAAAAAAAACAATTTCTTTGGTATGCCTTGAAATTAGCAAATGTTTGTTTCGCTCACCAAATTTATCCCAAAACCGCTCTATTTTTTTCTGACTTTATTTGACATGCGATTTTAAAATAAATTGCATATTTTCATTGTTACTTATTCCCGTCTACAAGATGACGTAGTCAAATTTTCAATTCGACATTTCTTCTTTCGACATCATCAATTTTGTTTTTTCATACGGACAGCCCTAAATTCAGTGATGTACTTCGTTAGTTGACCATGAATACGAAATGAAAATTTTATTGATGGTAATAACAATAATAACCATAAATAAGCAGAGGTTTGTTTTCACAGTCGTCCAAACTCTGTTGTTATGCAAACAAATGAAATCTGATAATTTCAAGCCCTACCTAGGAACTTCGAATATACAATGAAGGATAGAAGACCACCTCTCACCCCATCCTACAACAGACTCTGAGTTACAGACAGGCCTGACTTGCTCACGCATATACTCAAGACCCGTTGGAAGGCTAACTGCAAGAGAGCCTACAGGAATTCTACACATCTATTAACCATATTTTACACATTATATGTTTTCCAGTACAATTGTCTCTAAAACTTTCGACGTGTGTCTCCTTCTGATTGTTCTGCTCTTACTGACGATTTGAGAAGAGGCAACGTTGCCAGAGGGACGGTAACTACCGGTGGGGCAGATGAAAAACATCTATAGACTAATTGTGTGGGTCTATTTGACTGACTAGATCCGTTTAATTTCTCTATTGTACATGTTCGTAACTATTCTTTTATTAAGAAGTTTAACTTGTGCTTGTGCTAAACTTAATCCTTAAGCCTACTTGTGGCCATTTTTTCTGAGCCTTCCAATGATGCCTTTATACATAACTTGGCTGACAGTGAGTCGTGTAGGAACGATTTCTGTGTGGACGATTTCACCCCCGTTAAAAAAAAAATCAGCAGTGATTTTCCCATTCTACGTATTACAGGTTATGTTATTCATGAAAATGTTCCCGACTGAGCACCCACGAGGATATGATGAACATTTTGATAACTTTTACAGATCCATTGATGAATAAAATGAGACAGTAGCGAAAAAAGCACTTGCCATTGTGATGGCAAAATGTTATCAAATGTAATTATTTTTTAATTTTAACTTTCATTTGATCTCATTATTATTTTCTTATTGTATTTATTCAAAGTTTTATTAATTAATTCTGCACCCTTCATACAAGATTTTGCACAATGGGCTCAATATATACTAAGTGTCATATAAATCCGAACACCCAGTTTAAATGGTTTTATTTTAATAAAAGTTGGTGAATGTATTTATCTTACTGTAAATAACAAGTGAAAAAATTTTCAGCCTTATCAGTTGGACATTCCGGTTTTTATACTGCTTTTTTTAAATTCACTAACGCTCTAAAAAGGAATATTTCAGCCGCAGTAAAGAATCAACGTTGGCGGATTTTGGTTCTTGACATCCTTTATGATCGGTTACGATGCCTAGAGTACGGAGACCTGTACGATTTCGTCAACTTAGTGAGTTTGATAGGGGCCGTATAGTGGGACTTCGGGAAGCTGGACATTCTTTTCGGGCAATTGCAGTTAGAGTGCAAAGAAGTGTAGACACTGTGGTTAGGTGTTGTCAGGCATGGCTTCGAGAAGGCCGTACGCAAAGAGCAAGGGGCACTGGACGCTGCCGTAGAACAACAGACCGTGAAGATCGCCGACTAAGATTATTGGCCTTAAGGGACCGTTTCTCCACTACCAGGTCCATTGCAAATGAATGGTTTGCAGAACACGGAAGACCTATTGGCATGCGAAGTGTTTACCGACGAATGAGAAGTTTTGGCTTGTTTTCATACCGGCCACACTGGGTCCTCCCTTTAACTCGAGAACACCGACGTAATCGCCTTGGGTGGTGCAGACAATGGTCACTCTGAGATCAGGAATGGAACAGTATTGTCTTTAGTGACGAGTCTCGATTTTGTTTAGGCATGCACGATGGTCGTGCCAGGGTTAGAAGGCGACGTGGTGAAAGGAGGAATCCACAGTTTTTTGTTGAAAGACATGTTCATCACACTGTTGGAGTTATGGTTTGGGGTGCTATAGCTTATGGTTCCAGGTCACCTTTAATCTTCATCAGAGGTAACATCAACGTGCAGCGTTATATCCACGAAGTTCTAGAACCCCATCTTTTACCCTATCTTGACACCCTGGCAGATCCAACTTTCCAACAAGATAATGCCCGACCACATGTTGCAAGAGTCACAATAGACTTCTTTCAACATAATGATGTCACATTATTACCATGGCCACCAAGATCTCCCGACTTATCCCCAATTGAGCACGTGTGGGATATGATGTGTAGGAGATTGCTCAATTTGCAACGTCCTCCTCAGACTCTAGAAGCACTTCGAGAGAAGTTGGTGGTTGCCTGGAATGAGATACCACAGGAGGACATTGACCACCTGATCAGAAGCATGCCTAGGCGCGTTGGTGAATGCGTAGCACATCAGGGTGCATCCACACATTATTAAAGGTCAAAGGGCTTTAAAGCAGTGCAATCATTTTGAAATTTTTATCATTTACTTATTATGCTTCATTAAGTATTTATACAAAATTTTATTAAAATAAAACCATTTAAACTGGGTGTTCGGATTTATATTTCACTTAGTATATATACGCGCGCTTGGTTAACAATTAAAAAAAGGAATAGAATAACAAATTATTTGGAATATTGTTATTGGATGTTTCAAAAATATTCAGGAAATTTGACAACATTTTCGTTTTTACTCCCCACGTCTACTAGTATAATCGCGAAAATTTTGGAAAATGACGTAATGTGTTTTTTGAGTGTTACATGACATCACGAAAAATCATGTATATGATTTCTGTCAATCTGTCTGTGTGTCGCGGTCTGACTGCTGATCTTATAACCGCCTATAACTTGAGAGCACCGCTCAGAATTCAAAGTTACTACTATGCCAAGGACGCAAAAGTGTTGTAGTTTTTGAAAACCGGTCCAGAGGCGGGAGAAAAAGACCAAAAACGAAAAAATAGCAATCGCCCAAACTTCGTTTTTTCACATTTTAGACGGTCCTGCTCATTTCCAAAAAAATGAATGTAGGATTTGAACTTTGGAGGTTGGGGGATGTAGGGAGTGAGGTAGGGTATTTGAATTCTTTTTTGATCTTAGTATATTTATTCGCTTCCAGCCTCGGTTATTCTACGCACCTATTTGACATATTTAACACATCATAGATTTACCCGTACATTTGACTTTTTGGAATGATAGAGAAATGTTTTCAATCTGAGTACTCCTCCCTATCTAAGCCGATCGCCTGGCGAACTGGTCCGGCTTATTTATCTATCCGTACTGAAGCACGAAACGACAAAACACATATAGACGAACCTTACACGAAACGAATGATAACTCGCTGCAGAGATGCCGTGGAGATGTGGAAAGGGGCAACGTTGTCACATGGACGAGAACAACTAGTAGGACAGGGAAATAATGTCTATGCAATAATTTTATGCACCTGTTTATGAACTGACGGCGTTGTGTAGAAACAGTAGAATTAACTCATTAAGCCCAAATAGAGCACTAATGGTTTTGTCAAAACCTACGTCTTTTTGTATTGTACTACATGGAAAATTGTAGTAATACATAGTTGTTTTGAAGGTGTGGGGAGTATAGACTGCATCTACTTGACGCGATTTATTCATACTGCTTTTGGGGCAGAAGGACGTACATTTTACACTTTTTCAAAAATCTATTTAAATTGTTTGAACAAAAAAAGTCCTTTTTGACTAATATTCTACAAAAAACCGAATCGGAATATTTTCCAAGTGAGTGCGAAGATACTTCCTAGAATAAATAGTTACCTTGAAAGTAGATCATAACACCTAGGGCATATGACATGCCCATGAGAACACTGCCCAAACGGAGGCGACATGTAGTTGTAGCAAACTGGACACTCCAGTAGTTGCAAGAATCTCTGGTATGTGTTTAGCTCTAATTCACTGCCATCAGCAGTTTCCGAAGTGATCTGTGGTTCAGTTTGAGAAGCAATTGTGCGCTGGTTAATAGTAGGGATCTCTATATCCGTTTCAGATCCGCTTGTGCTGTTATCGTCCAAACCAATCACTGTCACTGTTTCTGTTTGATAAGCACTATTATGCTGGTTATCGAAGTTATACACTGGTATGTGTTGGGAAGAACCAGTTTGATTATATGTATTGATGGAAAGTTCTAAGAACCTGTCGTACAGTACTGACTCCGTTTCATCTAGGTTATTCTCACTTCTGTCTAGTTCCGTGGGAGTAGTACTTGAACTTTCATTATCTACAGCCACATCGTGTTCAGTTCGGGAAGTACTCGTAGGACTTAGATCCATTTGGGAAGAACTTGCGGCGCTGCTTGAATCCATATTGGTACTGGAAAAATGCGGAAATTTTATGATAACTAGGATGGTATTACTATGGTTATAAATCTTTCCCCGTATTTTGAGTTCAAAAATTGAGCATCAGGCCAATTGTTCTTATATTTTCACGCTACGTCAAGATAAATTTCCAAATCGATTTTTTAATATATAACGTATACAGGGTGTTCCATAGTGACGTGCTAGATAGAATTCCAGGATATAATTCAAATGATTTTATGAAGAAAAGTTTTTATGAACAAATGGCTACATTTTCACTAAAGGGTGTTGAATTTTTAAGGATAAATTTGTTCTTTGGATATTGTTAAATTTTGGCATTTCATAAAACTACTGTTCTTCTTCTGTATTCATGGTGCTGGGGAAATAATATTCGTAACTTTAAGAGGTGACTCCTTGCATTATTCTAAGCAAAAAAGTTCATTATAACTTATGTTTGAAAATCAATCGTTTACGAGGAAAGCGAGTCGTAAATAATTAAATTTTCTCAAACATTTGGCAACGCTGCAACGCAACCGCGATACCACAACTGATTCATCTAATTGTTTACGTCTAAATGATATTTTTGTTGAAAAATAAGCCTTGAATTATTGAATACTTCACGCAATTTTTTGTGGCTAATATTTTTTATTTAATAACGCTTTCAGTACAGGACATTTCCTTAAAAAAATGACAGAACTTACCGGTACGTGGGCGATACACACCACCAATTCCCACGATTATCAGTCACTTGTTTGAAACGATGCGATGCACGAAAAAAAGAAAAAAAACAACAACCGTAAATCACATAAGGTTACAGTTCAATGTATTAGTAATCACAACAACACGCGATGATACATGCAGTGCAGGCGTTGCCAGTTGTGTGCAGAATTTTTTTTGTCTGTTTTTCTTTGGAAAATTGTATTTAATAAGCAAGAAAATTATTTTTTTTGAGACAGTTAATTAACAAATAGATGTATTGATACATTTTACGCTATTAGGCATATAAATTTAAATTTTTAGGGTGCAAAATTTATTTATTTCATGACTAAAAAGAAATAAGTTCAACATTTTTTTGCTCCGAAACAGTTGCTTTTCGGACATAGGTTATAATGAACTTTGTTGCTCAGAATAATGCAAGGAATCACCTATTAAAGTTGCGAATATTATTTCTCTAACACCTTGTATAGATCTTGATGACTAGATAATAATGACCCAGTTTTATAAATATATATATATATATATATATATATATATATAGATTTACGGAAGCATACCCCTGATACGATAAATATCAATTTCACTACGTAACTATTTTATTAAACGTAATGTTGAAAAATCGCTTTTTGGAACGGATGAAAAGACCTGAGACATTACATGTTAGTATGTGATCATTTTGCTGCAGAGGTTACGACGACTTTCAAAAAAGACCATAATCAAACAGTTAAAGTAATTAGCAATTTGTTGAGCAGCCTTATTAACTGATTTTTTTATATCAATAACTACTAAAGCTTTAACTTTTGGCTGTTATTTCAAAGGCCTATCGGAACAGTGGTTTCGGTTAATTTCGCTGAATTTTTTATATGCTATACGTCTTGACATCCCGAAGCCACGGTACCCCATGGGTGTTTAGGCCTTAGGCCTTCATGGTGGTTGGAGTATATATATGAAAAAACAAATGTTTCAATGGGCACAGGCCCCCAACCTCAACGGGTCCCATGATATACTCCATACAAGTTGGTATAATGGGGTTCTACTCAAATATATGCTTTAAATCAGAGTTCCCCAAACTTTTTTGTTGCCATGTTTTTCCGTGTTGGGTAGACCCCCAACTTACCTGATATTGATTTCCTGTAAATTTGTAACTGTAGTGAAGTTTACTGTTAAAAACTTAAAGTAAAAACATGTTAATTTATACATTTATTAATTGAATTTAAATTAAAACTACTCAAAATAAAATTTTGTATCTGTTATGTAAAATATACGTAACATTAAATAAACAGGTGTCAGTCCAATAAGTGCCCGCATTGGGAATAAGTGCCCGCATTGAAAAAAAAATAAGAGGGATGAAATAAAAAAAAATGAAAAATAAAAAAAGAAGTTTTTTATTTAAAATAGTACAATAAGCGAGTTCGTTTATTAATTATAACATAAACGTATGTTCCACAATAATTTCACTGTTGGTTTGATTAAATTCCGCTTCTTATACGTTTAAGTTATGTAAAAATAGGCAAAAAATTAACGAATTTTAGTGTGTACCTATCCTTGAATTTTCAGAATAATTTAAAAAAAATATTTTCTATAAAGGGGGGTTCTTTAAAAAAATCAATGCGAGCACTTATTCCCAATGCGGGCGTTTATTGGTCAGACACCAATAAACATAAAATAAACTATAAATAAAATATGATAAGCAATAAGTCAATATTTTTAGTGAGAAGGATGAACCTGATGCTTTAATAAGAAATTATCAACATTTGTCGTCAATTTTGTAAGGGTTAATCTTAAATCTCCTCGGCTAATGACGTCCAGTCTGTTTCTTTTTTTCGTTAGGAGATTGGAAACAGCGCTGAACCCCCTTTCCACTAGGTATGACGATGGAAAGGAAATTAAAAATTTCCTCGCTATATTCGATAATACGAGATAAGTAACGGGTATGTTGTTTTGCAGCCAGAATTGCTGATATCCGTTTTTAAACTGAACCTTAAGTTCTTCGTTTGTACTTAGTTCAGTCAGTTCCTCTTGTATTATGACATTCGTTTCTTCTATGTCACCATATGGATTAATTATCCACGGTGGTATTACCATAGTCAAAATATCCTCAAACCTGGATTCAAAATCTGAATAGAGGGCATTTAAATGTTGAACGTAAGTTGAAACGTCGTCTTCCTGGCAGCTTGTCTGTGACAAATTGGCGAACTGAGAAAATTCGCCCCGTCCAATATTTTGCTTCATTAGTTTAGCTCTGGCAAGAAACGCTAATAAGATAATAAGATGGCCTTTGTTTTAATCAAATTTAAATTGTCGCCTTGTAATTGCAAATTAACCATATTAAATCTTGTAAACAAATCTGTTAAATAGGCGATGTCTGTTTTCCTCTTCATTAAATTTTCTTTTAAAATGTTGTCGATGGATGACGCAATGTATTGCTAACACCCCTGACACATTTTGTTTTAAATAGCTTATAAGTCCACGATAACGTCCAACCAGGGCAGGTGCTCCATCTGTAGCTACTGATATTATATTTGATAAAGGAATTGCTTTTTCAATGAAGTAATCCTTCAAAACATGAAATATTGATTCACCTTTAGTGTCGGTTATCAAAGTTCTTGCGAAGAGCAGTTCTTCGTAGATTTCTTGATTCATAATAAAACGAACATATGCCAATAATAATGCTGCATTATCAGGTAAAGTTGACTCGTCCAGTTGTATAGAGAAATGGGTCGTTTGCAAATAATTACATAAGAAGCTTTCAATAACAGAACTCATTTCATCAATACGTCTTTCAACAGTATTGTTGCTTAAGGGAATTCTTTGAATGATATCCGATGCAGGTTTGTGTAAAACAGTTTTTAAAACCTCTTCAACGGCTGGCAAAATTAACTTCTCTCCGATAGTATGCGGTTTTCCGGATTTTGCTATAAGTAACGAGATATTGTAAGACGCCCGCAAACCATCATCATTTCTTTGTGACGTCGAAGCGAACATTCTGTCCAGTATAGGTCTCTTCTGAAATTTATCTTTGAGTGTTTGAAAGTATTTCAAATCCTTCTCTGTTTTATCAGGGTGGCTTCTTCTCAGATGATCTTGCAGTTTAGATGGTTTCATAGCGTCATTGCCCAAAACTTTGTTGCATAAAAGGCACATAGGCGATTGTTTGTCCGGCAATGATGGAATGAAGCCAAATTTCAAATAATCAACACTGTACTGTCTACATTTCTTTTTAGATTCGGACATGGCATCAGTCATCTGTGGCCAAAATTAAATTATTTAAATAAGACAGAAAATCCGGCAGCTGTATATTATCAATATTTTTTGATTTTTCCGAAAACATTCCATAATTCGAACATCTTCTTGCAACAATTAGCTCGAATTACGGAGATTGCACTGTAATTATATTACTGATTGCTAAAACTTTCAAAAAGAAACTATTGAGGAGTACTCGTGTAATTTTGCATGATTGAATATTTAACTACTAATAACTAAAGTCATGATTGGCGTAATTTATCTATCTTTGCTAACTACGAGTACAAAACTAAAATTTAATAAAAAATAATGTACTTACTTTTCTCCAGCACTCTCAAACAAAATAACACTGACTCACTATAATTTGTGTGATATACTATCTGTTTATATTTTTTAAAATATTTTCTTAGCACTTTCCTTTTCAAGATTCAGGAAACGAATAAACGTATTTGTCCCACATTCGTATTTATAGAGTGTTGACTTGAACAAGTCAGTGCAAGGTAGCGAAGCTCTGAGACTGCGACTATCAGGTTTTTACAAGTTCAAAATGTATTGCGACCACAAAGCGAATACCAACATCCTACAACTTACACAATTTTATAAACATATATAATAAATTTTTTACTTCATAGGTACTTTTATAAATAATGTATATGTTTTGATATTAACATATAAGATAGTATGATGTAAGTAAATAGGTACTATCAGAGTATGTGTTGAGATCCACTATCGTGGACCCCCATATTCATTTCATGGACCCCCAAATTTTTTTTCGCTGACGTAGACCCCTTGCAGGTTGTCATAGACCCCTAGGGGTCGATATAGATCACTTTGGGAGTCAATGCTTTAAATGGAAGAGTGGTTTCGGTCAATTTCGCTGAATTACTCATATGGCGTCCAAAATAAATGATCCGTCGAGTTTTGGGGCCTATGTCCATCGAGACATTTATTCAGGACGACGAGACACATAACAGATAATAAATCCAACAAAATTAACGTAACCAGATATTGAGAGGGCCGATAATCCATTATATGCCACGACGCGTAACATATCAAAAATTCAGCGAAATTAATCAAAACCACTTTTCCCATAGACGTGTTGCCGGGTCTTTTATTCTCAGCGAAATATTGTGCACAGTTAGTTATAAGCAAGAGATAGTGGTTCAATTTTTAAGTGAAAACATTTGGTGTATTGCTTGACTTCCCTAACAATGTGTTGGGCCACCCCAATGCCATATACATTCGTATAGTCGGGGGAGTTGCACATTAGTTCTTACTCCGCGACGCCTTTTGACTCGTCTGACCTGTCTATCACGCATTCCTAAACAGAGGTAAGATCATCACTAAACACAATGTTTGTTATGCCATTGAACATCAACATTTTCTTGGTCTCAATTCTGTTGTAGTGATGCATGATGGACTGGCATAAGCCAGGAGCAGTCTCAGAGAAAGGCACGATGTAAAGTTTGCAGTTGAACGTCTCATCATGCTATAGGAGTTATGGTTTGTGGTGCCAACCATTGAAAACCGTATCATTTCCTTTGTTGGACATAAATTTGTTGTCGGGAAGGAAATTATAAGGAAATAAAGATGTATGTTGAACACAAAATGAAAATTTTATTGGTGATAATAACTGTAATAATCATAAATAGAGGTAAACGATAGCAGATGTTCAATATGTTGTCCGTAATTTTGTAGGCAAAGCCTTCTTCTCTGCACATTGTTCACTGTTCGATTTATTTCTCTTATTCTCAGTCTTCCAAACTCTGTTACTATGTTCAATTGGTGTACGATACAAATTACTACGATATTTTCAACGACTACCTAAAAAATTCTGTTTTTCTGTAATAACTGAGGGTTGGCATATGCAATGTGCGATATATTATAGATTTTTTTGAATCGGAATTAAAAACTCTATTTATCTGGGGAGAAATCCAATATGGCGTCTATAAGAAAAAATAAATTTGAGGCTGGGGGGCAAGAGAATTTTATTTTAACATCCCACTACAAATAAAGTCAGGGAAAAATTAAAACGATTTTGGGAAAATTTGTTTTTTTAGGTCTCTCTCCGCAAGTACTTTGAATTTCGAAACTTTCTAAGCGGTATTTGAACATAGAAGAGGATGCAGTGAAACTATCCCGGTGGAGAGAAAGAGCCTTCCATCGAAGATTTCTCCATTGTGTTGAGCATAAAACTATCAACAACCAAGCGTCGTACAACTGGCTGATATATGGAGAGCTGCAACTATCACAATTACATATTAAAAGTTGGAGTTGGATGAGATATATGTCGAAGAAGTAGTCTGTTTTGAAGCAAATAAAATGTGGAAATACGAACGAGCTCGTGTAATACCAATTACAGTAGAACCCCGATTATCCGAATCGCCATTATCCGAAATCCGCTTTATACGAAACATATTGCATACAATAATTTCTCCGTTTTAACCGAAGTTGTTCGGGAAATCTGCGTATGATCCGAAAGGACGCCGGTAATTCTACTTTCGGCGTTTGCGTCATTAGATTCGCTGCTGGTGATTCCCCAAGCGCGTTTGCGGAATTCACTGGTATGTGTGCGTGTATGTTTGTTTCAGCCAGGTTCATAATCGCTCAAATGGAGCAGCATAGAAATAAACGTAAACGCGTTGTTATTACCATTGAACAGAAACTTGAGGCAATTAGACGTTTATATAGAGGTGATTTGCTTAAAATCGTGGCAAGTGATTTGGGTGTGGGCGTGAGTACCATTTCAGAATGGAAAAAACAACGCGAGAAAATTGGTCTATAGTTATAACATAATCGCAGCCGTCACGGAAAACTATGAAAAAGGGGGAGTATCAAAAAGTGGATGATGCCTTATATCTGTGGTTTACACAGAATCGAGAACGTGGTATACCAATTTCCGGACCAATTCTTAAGCAAAAGGCAGTCAACTTAAGTGAAGAATTGCCAGTTATTGAGGCGCCTGGTACCTTTACAGCCAGTGATGGTTGGCTGCATATCGTAGATGAAAAAAGCGATACGGTATACGAGAATTAAATGTTTGCGGAGAAAAGTTATCTGCCGATAAGTCCGCTGCATTAAAATTTGGAGAACATTTCAAAGAATTAATGATGGTTCAAATCCAGAACAAATTTACAACTGCGACGAAACGGGCCTAAACTATAAAATGTTACCGGCGAAACGTTTAGCTTCAAAACAAGAATCTGGAGCTCCTGGTTACAAACGCAGTAAAGAACGTGTGACTATCCTTGCTTGTAGCAATGTTTCCAGTACACAAAAACTTCCTTTCGGAAAATCAGCTAAACCAAGAGCATAAAACATGTCCGTCCCAACGCTCTTCCAGTGTGGTATAAAAATAAAAAAACGCTTGGATGGATGCCGCTCTATTTAAGGGCTGGTTTTACAGTCATTTTGTTCCCAAGCCTGAAACGGTATTTAAATGAACGCGGATATACGAGAAAATGTATTTTGCTATTAGACAATGCTCCGAGCCACACAAGTGAGGAGCAACTTAAAAGTGGAGATATACCTACGAGTTTTTGCCTACTAATGTAACGTCACTGATTCAGCCAATTGATCAAGGAGTTTCAGAAAATTTAAAACGCGTTTGAGATTAACCTCAAAAATGTGGCATATTGGATAGCAGAAGCATGGAGCCAACTAAAAAATTCTACTTATTGGTCGACAATAATTAAGCAAGAACTGTAACCTTGCGCAAACTTTGAGAATAACTACGAAAATTTACATGAGCTCGTCGTAAAAATAGCAGGATGTGAAAATCTTACCCAACCAGATGTTGGAGAGTGGATTAATGGTGATGACTTGGTGGAAGAATTTACTGATACAAAACTAATAAAAAATGTTTGTAACAATGATGCCGAGACAGTTTTAAGTGATGCTAGTGACAATGAGATAGAAATCTCTGCCAAAATATCACATTCTGAGGGATCAGAAGCTCTACAAAAGGCGTTGACTTACGCCGAACAACAAGAAAATGCGACAGCAGCTGATGTGCTACTTATCATACCTTGAAGGGATATTGCTGCCAAAAATAGGAACAATTCAAAGCGTGTACAGTTAAAAATTACTTCCTTTCTTACTAAATACTCGTAAATATACAGGGTGTTTCAGTTTATTGTTGCCTAACTTTAAGATTCGATAGAACTTTTGAAATTAATGCATAAAGTCTATATAAACATGGGTCGAAAAATGCGCGGCTTCCGAAATACGTATAAATTTACTTTATAAAATAGTTTTTTTTAAATATTTCGAACAATATTTGATGTGTAACAGTGAAAATTG